AAGTTTTATGTTTGCCAGCCCTTCAATATTCATTAAGAATCTTTTGTGAAAAAGCCTGGCAGAATCTTGTAAACTGATAGGCAGCATGCTTAGAGACAGAGCATCATCATAGGGGAGGACGTTTTAGAATACAGTTATTATGATCTAGAAGGTAGTAGAGAAATGTACACGTGAATGTTCATGGCAGCATTATTCATAAGAGCCGAAAAGTGGATACAACTCAAGTGCCCATCAACGATGAGTAGATAAACAGAGAGTGGCGTATTCACACATGGACTGTTATTTGGCCATGAAGAGGAATGAAATCCTGAGACATGCTACCACATGGATGAACCTTGATGACAACCTAAGGGAAAGAAAATAGTCATGAAAGGCCACATACTGTACGAGTCCATTTACATGAGACGTCCAGAGCAGGCAAGTCTATAAAGGCAAAAAGGTAGATGAGTGGTTGCCTAGGGCTGGAGTAAGGGGAAGGATGGGGAGTGAACTCTGATAGTATAGGGTTTACTTCTGGGATGATGAGAATGTTCAAAAGTTAGATTGTGATGATGGTTATGTAGCTCCGTGAATATACTAAAAACCATTGACTTGTAGAGCCTAAATGGGTGAGTTATATTGTGTGTGAATTAATATCTCAATAAAGCAGTTTTTAAAAAGTAGTAGGGAACATTTGTTGCAAAGTTATACCTCAGTAGGTTGTAAAAAATTATTTTTCTAAGTAATCTTTATTTGTAATAGTTCTACCTGCTGCTTCTTGGTAAGTGAAAAACCAAATTTATACAACTTAGGCCTTTCAACCTTGTGTGCATAGGCCAGGAAGCCCCACTCACTGTCGATGAGGCAATTGGTAAGAAGTCACAATTACAAGATGCTAAAGATGCCAGAGAAGCTGATCCTGCATAATGAACTCAAGGGAGAGGGTTGTGTAGGAAGTAAGCGGAAAGATTATTCAAGGGGCGTGTGGGTGGCTCAGTTGGTTAAGCGTCAGACTTGGTTTGGGCTCAGGTCAAGATCTCAGGGTTGTGAGATCGAGACCCGCCTGGGGCTCTGTGCTAAGCGCAGAGCCTGCTTCAGACTCTTTCCCTCTCCCTCTCCCTCTGCCCCTCCCCACCAGCACATGCTTTGTCTTTCTCTCTCAAAAAAAAAAGATTATTCAAAGGACACAGCATAATTAGGAAGGAAACAGCAAAATTATGTTTACAATGTAAAGCATAAACACATACCTGGAAACTGACAGCTTGTAGAAAACGTGATTGCTTTTGTGTGGACTTCTTCCTGGCTAGCTGTCACATTTGGGGAGTCTTCATTTTCCAGGCACTGATGTGCTTGGTCTAGTTGGAAGAAGTGCTGATCTGGGACTCAGGACACCCACATTCTAGTCCTGACTCTGTCATTTATTCACCATTCAACAAACAACAATTGTAAGCCTACTGTATGCCAGGCTTTGCAAGTTAGTCCCATTGACCCACAGACTCTCTATCTCAAGTGTCTCACTTTTCAGAGACCGATGATGCAAAAGTTTAATAAGTGTTGTAACAGGAAGGAAGGAACCTATTCCCTCTTGAGGAATGAAGAAGGAAGAGGTAGGGGTGAGGAAGAGGCTTGCCATTAATTGAAGTTGTATTGTTTCTTCATTAATTGTTTGCTGTCCAAGGAGCTAGTCAGCTCCTTGAGGAAAAGGGAGACCTTTCTATCTTATTTGTTTTTTGAAGCCAGCTTTATTGAGACATAATTCACATACTGCACAAGGCATCCATTTAAAGTATACAACTCAATAGTTTTTAGTATATTTACAGATTTATATAATCATCACCCAATCTAATTATAGTACATTTTTACTACTCCCAGAGAGAAACCCCATACCCATTAGCAGCCACTCCCCATCCTGCCCCCCTCTACTCCCAGACCTAGCTAACCCCTAATCTACTTTTTATAGATTTGCCTATTCTGGGTGTTTCACATAAATGGAATCATGCAGTATATGGCCCTTTGTGACTGGCTCCTTTCGCTTTGCATAATGTTTTCAAGAGTCATCTCTGTGGTAGCTTGTCTGAGAACTGCATTTTTTTTAAAGATTTTATTTTTTAAATTATCTCTACACCCAATGTGGGGCTCAAACTCACAACCCTGAGATTAAGAATCCCATGCTCTACTGACTGAGCCAGCAAGGTGCCCCCAGAACTTCATTCCTTTTCATGGCTGAATAATATCCCACCGTATGGACATGTCACAGTTTGTCTATTTATGGGTTGATGGGCATTTGAGTTGTTTTCACCTTTTGGCTTTTATGAGTAATGCTGCTGTGAACACTTGTGTACAAGTTTTTGAGGGGACATATGTTGCCATTTCTCCCCTATGTTGTATATCCAGGAGTGGAATTGCTGGGTCATATGCTTACTCTGTTTAATCTTTTGAAGAACTACCAGATTGTTCTCCACAGTTACTGCCCCATTTTTACATTCAGTTTCTCTACATCTTTGTCAATGCTTGTTTTTTTTTTTTTTTTTGTCTTTTGGACCTTGTGGGTGTGAAGTGGTCACCTTATTCATTTTTGCATCCCTAGTGCCTCAAAGAGAACCTGGCCCAGGCAGATGTACAATTTATTTGTTGAGTGAATTTGAGAACATGGTGAACATACGCCATTTGGGGGCTCCCTGGCATCTGACCCACTTTTCTTTGTTTGGGGTAATCTAATGATTACTGGAGAGAAGCAGATCCCAGTTACAATAGAGAAGTGTAAAAAAAAAAAAAAAATTTTCAGCTCCTTGCTTGCCCAGCCCTGCCTGTAACTCGAGCAAGAAACATATGCTAAGCTTGGTAAACCTAAACCTAATGGATCTGCCCCAGGCTTCAAAGAAGCGCTCATAATGCAAAGCAGGGCTGGTGCAGAATCCATTCTGATGGCGAGAACAGGCACTGCGGTGACATCTGGTTCCAGGAGCAACAGCTCTGGTAGTGCCAGTGGTAGGTGGTGCCAGAGTCCAGTGCCATTGACCTGGAAGCGTGGGCTGAGGGGTCCTATGCTGAATGGTGGTGGCAGCAATGGTCACCTCCCTCAACATATGGTGCTGTAATCTTGGCTGTGACCCTAGCTGCTGCCCAGACTTCCTTGCTCTTGCTTATCATCTGGCCTGCTTCTGCAGCCTTCTCAGCTAAGGTGTCAGCCAGCCAATATCCTTTCACAAGTGCCCTTTCTCTTAAGTCTGTTACAATGAATACCGGGTGGGTGGGTGGAGGGACGGACGGAAGCAGCAGTGGCTGAATGGCGCTTCAGGGAAACAGTCTTGAAGTATAAGTAGAAGCTCATCAGGCACATATGTATTCCAGACCGAACCAAGAGCACAGCACAGGGACTGAGGAGTGAGACGTCCTGGTGTCCTGCTGCGAATTCAGTCTGGCTGAGGTAGAAGGAGCAAGGTAGGAAGTGGTGAGGTGTCAAGCTAAAGGGACTAGCCTAGCACAGATCATGAAGGATTTTTAGGCTATGCTAACGCGTCTTGATTCTATCCTGGAAAAAAAAAAAAGGAAAACTATCAATTTAATCAAGATAGTGACATTATCAGATTTGCATTTGGAAAATATGCTATAAAGAAAGCAAATTTTGGCAGCAGGGAGGAGAATGAACTGGAAGAGAGTGAGACTAGAGACAGGAAGACCAATTAAGGAGTTATAGCAATAATTCCAACAGAAGATGATGAATTCTGAATCAAGGCCGTAAGCGTGGAGAGGAGGCATTGATCTGAGATATATTAAGGAATTAGAGCCAGGAGGAATGTTGTCCCCATTTTGATGCATAAGAATTAAGCAAGGACAATCACAATGACTCCAAAGTTTCCGTTTAAATAAATCAGTAGATGATGATGCCATTTATACATGCATCCATTCATTCAACCAAAATTTAATTAGCAGTAATTGTGGGACATGCTGGGTATGATTCAGTGAATAAAACAGACCTGGTCCTACCTTTACTGCGGTCCTACCTTTGCTCTATATCAGGTTCTATTTATGTGTCTTCGCAGATTTTCTGGGCCTCTTCTCTGTCTTAGTTGCCACCATGAGTGACTTAGTTAAGTCCCTGGTGGTTTGACTGAGACCAACCAGCCACATACCCACAGTCTCCTCACGCCACTCCTGGACTCCAGGGCAGGGCACTTGGCTTTCTGAGTGGCTATCAAAGAATATGGACAACACGGTAGGAAGTATGGGAAAGCGAGCTCCCTGTGGGACAAGCTTTGACCAACAGGAGACAGGAGACATGAAGATAAAATTCCTCCCTTTCTCAAATTGTTCTAAGACATGACTTTTCCTTATTGTCTGTCTGGAGATGTCCTGTACGGAAGAGTGGTTGCACCTGTCAAGAGACTGGCTGTATCTTTTCAAGGCTTAGCACGAAGCAGTGGTTAGCATAGTAAGGCATCATTAAGCATGGCTCTCATTCTTCCTTGCTTTTTCTCTCCTGGTCACTGCCCTGGGATAGTACCTCCTAAATAAAACATCAGCATCCTTGCATCAAGCTCTATTTTCCAGGAAAGTGGGCTAAAACACACTGAGAGAGGAAAACAGAAGGAGATAATGACTTCCATTTTCACGTGCTAAGTTTGAGTGAACTTGAGTGAAAATTATCCATCTATTCAAAAATATTTATTGAGTGCCTCCGTGTATGCTTACATTAGGGATAATATGGTGAACAAAATAGACATGTTTCCTGCTCTTACAGAGCTTACATTTAGTGGGAAGAAGGGACAAATGATAAATCAGCACAGAAATAAGTGGATGTAATTCCAGACAGTGAGAAGAGTTTTTTTTTTTTTTAAAGATTTTATTTATTTATTTGACAGAGAGAGACACAGTGAGAGAGGAACACAAGCAGGGGGAGTGGAGGGGGGAGAGGCAGGCTTCCCGCCGAGCGGGGAGCCCGATGCGGGGCTCGATCCCAGAACGCTGGGATCATGACCTGAGCCGAAGGCAGGCGCTTAACGACTGAGCCACCCAGGCGCCCCTATGTGAGAAGAGTTTTGAAGAGAAATTTAATTAGGTGATGTGATAGTGTGGCAGGTGTGAGTGTTTGGGGGTGTGTGTGGTGCGCTAACCTAGAGTAGGTGGTCAAGGGAACAGAGAATAGGTAGAAGGGAAAGCCTTTTCCAGAAGGAGGAGCAGGAAGTGGAGGGAAGCATAAATCTGGAGACAGACATATTGTCTAGTGCTAGGGGTTTAGGTGTGGACAGGAAATTTGTCTCTATTTTCGCTGTGAAATAGTTGGTCAGGATATGGGCACAGAAGGTAATGGAAACAGGGAGGTTGGGGAGAGTAGCGAAGGCATGGGTGAGGGTACAGACCAGGGCCAGGGGAAAAGAATGAGTGGAGTGTCGGAGCAGGAAAGGTAGATGCCATGTATAATTTCTGGCACTAAGCGGCCATAGGATTTTGAAGAAGTTTGGGCCTTGGTTTCTTTATCTAAGCATAAGAGCTTTGATCAGGCTCCATGATTGTATGAAGGCAAGGAGGAGCTGATATGAAACTTCTATGTAGCTAAATAATTTACTCCTTGAAATCCACCATTGATATCTTTAGGACCCAATAGTAGTTGGTTCTTTCCCACCATTAATGATATTCTGGCCACTCATCAGCTAACACAGTTGTCAGACTCCTTCAGCAAAATGTCTTTTTCATAGTTGAGGACTGTTTACAGTAAGGACAAACAACTGGGGCTCATTAATTCAATCATTTGGACACTGATTATGCATCTATTGTCTACTCTAGTCAGTTATGTTAAATAAGTTCTTCATTTTTCATCAGAGCAATTATGCTAACATGCTTGAAATTTTCCAAGAGCATTATACCTTCATACACTAATCCTGCCTAGCAGCAGCCTGGCTCAGTCAATATTGTCACACACAGACAATTATAATCAAGGCATAAGGCCCTATTGTTGACATATGACTACCAAATTATCCCTCTTTACAATAGAACTTCAAATAATTTGTACATTGTTCTTTCAGCGTTTAGACATGGATGGGCCTTTGTCTATTTTTTCCCCAAATATGTAGATCTCAAATAATACTTAAATGCTTTATGGGTGTGCTCATTGCATTAAAATTGTATTATAATTTACCAAGTAATAGTTCAGCAATCATTGGATTAGCTATCCCAATAACTAATTAATCCAATGATTATTTATGCTTTTAAATGTATAGATAAGAAATATAATATTAATTATCAGATGCCTGGAGAATGATGAGATATATAACTTTAGTTTTCACTACCTGTTTTTCTCAACCAGAGCCAACTTCTCAATTCCTTTCTCTCTTTAAATCTCAAAAACCCTACATGGTATGTCTTTTTCTCTTGAGAGATTCTGGCCATGAAATGAGAATTTTCCAACATGCTTTTACGATAGGCACATCACAGATACCAGCTAAATGTCAAATTTAATTCTTTGTTCTTGTACATACTTTATACTTGTCTCCCGCATTTCCCATCAGATGTTAAAATTTTTTTTTTTTATTTTTAATAAAAACTAGCATGTCAATATGGACCGCATAGAGGCAGGTATACACATCTTCAACATAAGTTCATTTAAAACATGACATTTCACTATATTGAGATAAAAATCCAGCTGGTGTTGGATTTCCTCATTATCATTTGCAACAAAAATAACCCCACACATCTATTCCTTACAATTTTTACTTAGGTTATCTCATTTAATAGGTGTCCTTTTAGTTGCAAATAATCGGATCTTTCTTTAAGGTGCAGTAATGCTCACTGCAATTTGGTTCCATCAGGATGAGCGAATATAGAGACTGGATGCTGACAACCTACTCAACAGTTGTATGGAGGACAACTGAACAGATGGGGCAAAGCTATGTAGAACGCCCACAGACCCCTGACCCACACAGAGCATGTTTCTGCTGTCCTGATGCTGTATTTCACCTTTCTTCAGTTACTTAGTATTTTTTATCTTAGAGTGTGGGAAGACAGCTGGGAACAAGATGCTGTCCTTGTCCTTCAGGAATTTACAATCTAAACGGGGAGACAAAACAGACACATGAGAAGTTAAAAAACTGTTCAAGACTAAACTAACAGATCAAGACATTAATCAAAGCGAAGTCATGGTATGTAAGTCATTGTGACCATGAGAGAAAATTCAGAGGTGAGTGATAGATTCTCTGGGCCAGGGTAACCAGGAAGGGCTTTATAGATTTATCAGAGAGGATATGGAATAGGAGTTACATCTTTTGAAAAATCATTGCAACAAGGATATGTTTTCTACAAATTCAAACTGCAGAGGAATTAATGATGAAATTTTAAGTTTTCCACTCATGACTCCATGGATCTCTTTCCAGAAGCAACCACCATTACTGTTTTTCCTGTAAGTCTTTCCAGTACGTTTGACTACTTTTAAATTGATTCTGAATTGATTTTGTTTTGATTTTGAGAGGTCATGTGTAATGAAGGGTTAAATTGTTGTCTATCCACATAAAAATAAGACCCACTCAATATAATTTATGCAATAGCGACCTGTCTATCTAGGTCTGTCTTGAGGTACCCAAGTGGATTTCCAAGTTTATTGTCACCACAGCAATCTCTTCTCCATCTGCCTTTAGTTTCTGTCTTGACCCACTTTGGTTTAGATGCATTTCTAGCAGAGGGGGGCAGCAGGGCATGCTCCTGTTTCTAAGACCTTTGGGGACATCACTGTAGTCAGGTTGCCCCCTCCTCCCCTTTCCTCAATCCGAAATCCTGGAAAGCTTCCTAAATGGAAGAGTTAGGAATCCAAATTCTGACACTTTGGAGAGATGCTCTAACGTAGACCTTAAGCATATTATCCATTGAATTAATGTACCCCAAAGCACCAAACTCCCATATTGGGAGATTCTTCTGGAATTCCAGCCAGGCCTGCTTTTTTTTCTACTACTCACCCACGCATGTGGACACCAAAATGCACATACTGGTCACAAAGGAGAAAAGATTTGTGTGATCCTGGGTAAGCTTTTTATAAGTTATTTCATATTAAAACTGTTGGCTTGTGTCTGCAGGAAGAAGGACTAAAAACCAAAAACAGCCTTCCTACTTCTAAATTGAACAGCCTTTGCCCTAGACTATCCTTCCTGGTGTCTCTGGGAGTGGAAACAGAAATCTTAGGAGGTGGAACAGCTCCACCAATTGGTTTCCTGGGTCTCCTTCAGAAGCGATTTTTTTCAAAGGGGTGAATATAGCTGACTGTAACGGGACAATGGAAGAAACCGCGGCAGAGGTAAACTTTTGAAGGAAGGATTTCTACTGAGTAGGTTCATCTTAGCACAAACCCACGAAAGCAACAGAAGGGAAGAAATGATAACGATTATTGATTTTCTTTTAACTTCAAAGCCCAATGCTATTCATGTTTATTGTTTTATTTAATCACCACAGAACTATATTTAAACGGCTATCATTGCAGGTGAGTTCCACTTGTCAAAGCTCCCAGATTTGGAACAGAGCAGCATTCAAAACTACAATCTGCCTAACCCCAGGGTTTCCATATTTGAGGAGAGAGATGGTAGAAATGAAGATTTTGAAAGGAAGCCTGGAAAAGCTGTGAGACACCGAGAATGGCCAAATGTCTCTGGGCCTGTCTGAGGTGCTCTCTTCAGGGACGCTTTCGTCGAGTATGCTTCAAGAACTCTTGCTGTTTGAAATGGTCGTCTGGTATTACCCGTTAGTAAACAGATTTGTACTGCTAGTGCCACTTCCCTAGTTTATCTTGAGTTCCCAACTGAACCCACGAAGTAAAGATTGATGGGAATGATTGCTGGCCAGGGATCCAAGAAAATTGTGTTCTAGTCTTGTATCTGGCACCAACTACCTATGTTAAGACCTCAGGTTCTTTTCAACTGTAGTTCTACGGTGTTCGCTGCCAAACATAGTAGGTGCTTAATAAATACCTGATGTGATTAGTTGGGCTCAATGTTTCCGGAAGACGCTTGAGTGTCCATAGGGTAAAAGCCACAAGATTACCGGAGTGTGGATACCCATCCACCAGCTTTGGGCAGCCAGCAGCTTAGGGCCTTGTATCGCTGATGTGCGAGGTTGGGGCCTAAGAACATCGCCCGAACACTGGAGAAACTTAAGAGGAAGGGAAGACAACCCAGCAATTAAGAAGTATCGTGCTAGGCGCTTATCTTTTAGACTTCGCAAGGACCTTTCAGAGCATGCATTATTAGCACCATTTTTAACGAAGACAAAACCAAGATTCCGGTTCTTCAAAAACACCTGGCATCCCCTACCCTGTTCCTAATAATACCCATAAAAGATCCCCGCTTGGGCTTATTTACATCTCGGACCCCGCCCCGTTTACCACCACGAGGGCCCCGCCCACTCATTCGCCTCTGGGCGGGCCCAGGCTGGGTCGGGTCCCCCGGCTTCTGCGGACCCCTCTTCTGCCCCAGCTCGTCCCGTCCTCGAGGCGGCCCTCGGGCCTCCCCCAGGGACGAGCACGTGTCCACTCCCGGCCAGAGTACGGAAGGTGGACTAGGCGGCGGCCCCCACAGGCCCCACCCAATGGCGCTGGCAGGAGATCGGGGAGGGGACCCCGAGCCGAGCCGATGAGGGACGGGTGGTCGGCAGCGCGGCAGGTTACGTGCCTTCCCTTCGCCTGCCCCCATCCCTTCCCTTCCCAGGGCCTTTCGTGGGAGCGCGCCCGAGACGTAGTCAACCGAAACCATGAGCGTCCCACCCCGCCTCGTCCTCGGCCGCCCGGCAGCCCTCCCGCCCGGCCGCGCCTCGCCTCACGCTCTACGGGGGAGGCGGGACCAATCAGCGAGCGACGTCTCCCTTCCGATTCGAGGCCCCCGACGCGCGGCTCACACCCCGAGCACCACGCGCGCTCATTGGCTGCGGGCGCCGCCGGTCCGGCCGGGAGGGCGGGGCGGCCGAAGGGAAAGGAGGTGGGGAGGTAGTGGCCCGCGACTCTTCGAGCCCCGCTCGCGCCCCGGCCCTTCCCGGGCGCTTGGCCTCCTTCCTTCCCTCCTCCGCTCGCCCTGTCTTCCGTGCGCGCCGAGCGCTGCGCTCGGCCGGCGTGCCTCGCGCCCTAACGGGCGGCCGGGGGCGCCAATCAGCGGGCGGCAGGGTGCCAGCCCCGGGGCTGCGCCG